AACTTATCCTGAAAAGCATTGTGTCAACGGGCAGGCATCCAGCAATGGTGTTTGGTTGTTTTCTCAGAGTTAGATGGTTGCCATCTGGCATTGATAGGGAGATGGCGTTGTCATCAGTTTCTAGATGCAGGAAAGGAATGAATCCTCATCTGTTTCCTGTGGATAAGCAAGAGGTTGATAATCTAGTAAAATCTTGTTACCTTAAAGAAAACAGGCTTGGAATTTGTTTACATAATATAGGCCAGCTCTAACTTTCATGTCGGTGTAGTAAATTTCTTGAGAGAAGGCTGAAGACATTAGGAAACTTACTGCTTTGCAAGAATACCTTAATAAAGATATTTTTGAAGAGGTTTATACTGTCTTTTTCTGTAGTATTACTGTAGTCCATTTTAATTTTAAAAGGGAAAAAAACCCCAAGCATTGCCCCTGGAAAGGAATAGAAAGATTATTTCATGTAGAGGGGTCTTTCAAGCATTCTTTTAATATTTTTGAAGAAGTTTTAGGTTAAGATAAGTATAATCATTGTAGTGTTGTACTCTACATTTAAAACAAAAGGTACAGAAATGGTACAGCACATCTGTTGAAACAAATAGTTACAACTTGCCCTCTCTAGAGATGAGGTAGTATCATGGATAACTAGTTCAGTTTATTATCTGGCTAGCGTTTCTGTTTTGTCTTTTCCTTCTTACTCGTAAATCTTTCAGCTTTTACCATAAGTGTTTATCATTTTTCCTGTTTCCAGTTTTTTACAAGTTGCTTTGTCTGCCATCACCTCCCAGTACAGGTTCTGCTGGGCTGAGGAAGTTCAGCAGGCTGAGGCCTTTGCAAAAAGGAAGAAATGGTGGGCAACCTCTTGAACTTAAAAAGGGAAAAAAAAATTGCTGTTCACAACTGACCCTTTTGAAACTGTCTCATTTTCCTTAATCCTGGCTGTTGGTTTGTTAGTTTGTTTTGAACATTTAATGATCCAGCTGCCAGCTTTCAGTAACTGAATTGTATCATTATTGGAGAAATCTGGTTGCACTTTATTAGAGAAAACATCACTGTTTATACTGTTGTCCTGTTCCTCCCCTGTAATTTTTCCTATTATTGTTTAGAATAACACCCAAATCTGTCTCAGTAATAGCCTGTGTTCAGATGCAACTTTAAGGGGGAAAAAAAACCTGTGGCAAAGCAGGGGGAATCTTTTCATTAAAGATTAGGCATGTAGGTTGACTTTATTAATTTTAAATCATTCCTGTAATATTTTTTCCTTTCCTTTGACTCTTCAGATGCTCACATAATTTGCAAATCATTTTACAGTGGATACAAAAGAAACATTAAATATATTAAAATCTGCATTTTAATAAAGTTGTCAATGTATAATACATATCCTGCAACTGAGAAAGAATGATAAAAAAGCAATAAAAAGGTAATATAGGCACAGAACTATTTAATAACTTTTAATGTTTTACAGTCTGATAAAAATAAATGTGGTCTTGAAGCTGTTGGATACAGGTGTAAGAAATATCCTAGTCTGAGTTCAATATGTTTTAGCTGTTTAGGAGTAGCAGATCTGCGTTGTTCATATGCATTTGGTGTCTCCTTTGGACTGTAGGGATTAAGCTTGTGGGCACGTGTCTTTCTCATTTCAGATGGAGTGGATGTTGAGGATGACCCCACTTGCTCATGGCCAGCATCATCGCCTTCTAGCAAGGACCAGACTTCCCCGAGCCATGGAGAAGGTTGTGATTTTGGTGAAGAGGAAGGAGGCCCAGGGTTGCCCTATCCATGCCAGTTTTGTGACAAATCGTTCAGCCGCCTCAGCTACTTAAAGCACCACGAGCAAAGCCACAGCGACAAGCTCCCTTTCAAATGCACGTATTGCAGTCGTCTCTTCAAACACAAACGGAGCAGGGACCGCCACATAAAGCTCCATACCGGAGACAAGAAATATCACTGCAGTGAGTGTGATGCAGCGTTCTCTAGGAGCGATCATCTTAAAATTCACTTAAAGACTCATACGTCCAACAAGCCATATAAGTGTGCCATTTGTAGACGTGGATTCCTGTCATCTAGTTCGCTGCATGGTCACATGCAGGTTCACGAGAGGAACAAAGATGGCTCTCAGTCTGCTTCCCGGATGGAGGACTGGAAAATGAAAGACACTCAGAAATGCAGTCAGTGCGAAGAAGGCTTTGATTTTCCTGAAGATCTTCAGAAGCACATTGCAGAATGCCACCCCGAGTGTTCCCCTAACGAAGACCGATCTGCTCTTCAGTGTGTTTACTGTCATGAACTCTTTGTAGAGGAAACGTCTCTGGTGAATCACATGGAGCAGGCTCATAATGGTGAGAAGAAGAATTCATGCAGCATTTGCTCTGAGAATTTTCATACTGTGGAGGAGCTTTACAGCCACATGGACAGTCACCAGCAGCCGGAGTCGTGCAACCACAGCAACAGCCCGTCTTTGGTAACTGTGGGTTACACCTCAGTCTCTAGCACCACTCCAGATTCGAATCTCTCTGTGGACAGCTCAACAATGGTGGAAACGGCTCCCCCTATACCAAAAGGTCGTGGAAGGAAGCGGGCAGCTCAGCAAGTGCCAGATATCACTGGTCCTTCGAGTAAACAGGCAAAAGTTACCTATAGCTGCATTTATTGCAACAAACAGTTATTTTCCAGCCTTGCAGTTTTGCAGATACACCTGAAAACTATGCATTTAGATAAACCTGAACAAGCCCATATCTGTCAGTATTGTTTGGAGGTGTTGCCGTCCCTCTACAATCTGAATGAACATCTTAAGCAAGTCCACGAAGCTCCAGACCCAGCACTGATTGTTTCTACCATGCCTGCCATGGTGTACCAGTGCAACTTCTGCTCTGAAGTGTTCAATGACCTCAACACCCTTCAGGAACACATCCGATGTTCTCATGGATTTGCCAACCCTGCTGCTAAGGACAGTAATGCGTTCTTTTGTCCCCATTGCTACATGGGATTTCTTACAGATTCTTCTCTGGAAGAGCATATTAGGCAAGTCCATTGTGATCTTAGCAGTTCCCGTTTTGGTTCCCCTGTGCTTGGAACCCCAAAAGATCCAGTGGTGGAAGTGTATTCTTGTTCTTACTGTACAAATTCTCCAATATTTAATAGTGTTCTTAAACTGAACAAGCATATCAAGGAGAACCATAAGAACATTCCTTTGGCACTGAATTACATCCACAATGGAAAAAAATCCAGGGCCATGAGTCCCTTATCTCCTGTAACCATTGAGCAGACCTCTTTAAAGATGATGCAGGCCGTTGGAGGTGCTCCTCCTCGTCCTGCAGGTGAATATATTTGTAATCAGTGTGGTGCTAAGTATACTTCCTTGGACGGTTTTCAGACTCATTTAAAAACACATCTTGACACTGTCCTGCCAAAACTGACCTGCCCTCAGTGCAACAAGGAATTTCCAAACCAGGAGTCTCTGCTGAAGCATGTTACCATTCATTTCATGATCACCTCAACCTACTACATCTGTGAAAGCTGTGACAAGCAGTTCACTTCTGTGGATGACTTGCAGAAACACCTACTGGACATGCATACCTTCGTGTTCTTCCGCTGCACCTTGTGCCAAGAGGTTTTTGACTCCAAAGTCTCCATTCAGCTACACTTGGCTGTGAAGCACAGCAATGAAAAGAAGGTATACAGATGTACCTCTTGCAACTGGGATTTCCGCAATGAGACTGATCTGCAGCTTCATGTTAAACACAACCACCTGGAGAACCAAGGCAAAGTGCACAAGTGCATCTTCTGTGGAGAGTCCTTCGGTACGGAGGTGGAGCTGCAGTGTCACATTACTACGCACAGCAAGAAGTACAACTGCAAGTTCTGCAGCAAAGCTTTCCATGCCATCATCTTGCTGGAGAAGCACTTAAGAGAAAAACATTGTGTTTTTGAAACGAAAACTCCAAACTGTGGAACAAACGGGGCCTCTGAGCAGGTTCAGAAGGAGGAAGTGGAACTCCAGACCTTGTTGACAAATAGCCAGGAGTCCCATAACAGCCACGATGGCAGCGAAGAAGATGTGGACACATCTGAGCCTATGTATGGCTGTGACATTTGTGGAGCAGCTTACACCATGGAGACTCTCCTGCAAAATCACCAGCTCCGAGACCACAATATTCGTCCTGGAGAAAGTGCCATAGTGAAGAAAAAGGCTGAGCTCATTAAAGGGAATTACAAGTGTAATGTGTGTTCTCGAACATTCTTCTCTGAAAACGGGCTCCGAGAACACATGCAGACACACTTGGGACCAGTGAAACACTATATGTGCCCAATCTGTGGCGAGCGGTTTCCGTCTCTTCTGACTCTTACTGAACATAAGGTTACACATAGTAAGAGCCTGGACACTGGAAACTGCAGGATTTGCAAGATGCCCCTCCAGAGCGAGGAGGAATTTTTAGAGCATTGCCAAATGCACCCTGACTTGAGGAACTCCTTGACAGGGTTCCGCTGCGTGGTGTGCATGCAGACAGTGACCTCCACGCTGGAACTGAAAATCCACGGCACGTTCCACATGCAGAAAACTGGAAACGGTTCTGCCGTGCAGTCCACGGGACGCACACAGCATCTCCAGAAACTGTACAAGTGTGCTTCTTGCCTGAAGGAATTCCGCTCGAAACAGGATTTAGTGAAACTTGACATCAATGGTCTGCCATATGGTCTGTGTGCTAGCTGTGTTAATCTCAGTAAAAGTGGTAGTCCAAGTGTCAACATCCCTTCAAGCAGTAACAGACAAGGCATGGGCCAAAATGAGAACTTGAGTTCCATTGAGAACAAAAGCAAGGCAGGGGGACTGAAGACTCGATGTTCTAGTTGCAATGTTAAATTTGAATCAGAAAGTGAACTCCAAAACCATATTCAGTCAATCCACAGAGAGCTTGTTCCAGACAGCAACAGTACACAGCTGAAAACACCACAAGTATCGCCAATGCCCAGAATCAGCCCCTCCCAAACTGAAGAGGTAACCCTTTTTTCTTTGCTCTTGACACCTTCCATCCTTTTGGAAAAATTCCCCTTTTTTTTAAGCTGTCTTGTCACTTGTCATGAAATGCTTAGGCTGAACCATGTTACATTTCCATCCCTAGCCATTAGCTAGTAATTACTTGCTTCTTGATATGCTTTATATCTTGGATTGAATTGTGCGGAATAGGCCTAATTCCAGTCTCCCTAGGATATTGTCTTCTGTATCACTGAGGAGACCTATCTTCATGCCAGCACAACTGAGATCTGGAATCTTATCCTAGCTCCCTTATGTGTTGGAGTCCCCAGCTAGGAGTTGTGCTTACGGCAGAGAGCACTAATGACAGAGGAGTAGAATACAGTGAGCCAAAATGCTAGCATAAGGGGTGGATTTTTAAAAAATATTTGTGAGCAACAAATTGAGGGTTTTCTTAGCAAATTGTGTTGTAGACATTCATTTTCCCCTCTTATAGCATATTTTGATTAAGTAGAAGTGCAACACTAGCCTAAGGTAAATTAGGAAATCAGTCCTTTGGATGCAATTCCTTGTTGTGTTTTTCTTTCCATTCCTGATGAACAACATTTTGATGTTGCTGAAATACCTACTGCCTGATGATTTCAATCCCATTCATGCAGCATAACTTAGGAAGTAGATATCAAACTTTTGAAAGATCTCATCTGCTTCCTCAGTCACCAGTGACCAAGTAGTAACACCTGTATATGGGAAGGTAGGGGGGGTCATGTACTGAGGGAGGGGAATCCGTTTTATCTTCAGAAATGTTATCAATAGAATGACTTAGATTTAATGTTTTAGACATGGTATCTTGCATAATGACCCCATATGGATCAGGAAGCCTAAAAAAACACCGGAAAAAAATGATAAGATATAATAGCTTTTGTTTCAAGAAAACTTTTGGCCTGTAGCGGTACAAGCATGGTGCAACCCATTGCTGTGAATGCGTATGGCTAGGGAGCTGCTGCTCTTCCATCACCCACCCCCTGTTATGAACCCATCTGTTGGGTAAGAAATCCCTTAGTGTGTCATCCAACAGTGTCGTGCAAACTGGAGGGCAGAAGGGAGGCAGAGAAGGAGGAGGGAAGATACATAAGGATAAGTGGGCCAAGAGGTAAGTATTTGTGGAGTTACCAAGAGCATAGTTGGAGATAGGCTGGGAGGAGGCCACTGAGGCAGCAGCACAGGGTCTGGAGTGCCAGGAAGAGGGAAGTGGAGCTGGGAAACGAGGGTGAAGTACCAGGCAGGATGCATCCAGCAGGGAAGGACCCTATGGTTTCATGACTTATGCATCTCAAGTTTGCACGTTGCGTGGTTGGGGGAGACACCTGAGGAATTCCATGTGGTGTGGAGTTTATGGAAGGAGCAGGTTGTTGGACTGACATCCGCAGGTCTAAGGAAAATCTTCTTTTCAAAAAGGGAAAAGGAATGGCTCCCATTAGATGAGGTTCAGGCCATTAATGGTTCTGTAGTACTGCTGCTGCACGGAACCCACAGGATTACCAGCTGCATGTTTTTGATAGAACCAGAGTCATCCTGGTTTCTGTTTCTGCCATCTTTCCCTGAGCGACTACATGGAATCTCTCTTCCCAGTCATATTGGAAGCCATTTCCTTCTACCTCAAGCATAATCTGAATCATGTGTGTTAAGACAGTTACCATAATAAGATGTTACCAACTTGCCTTTTTCTTGCTTGTAAACTAGATAAAAAGAGATTTGGGAGTCCTTTGTGGTGATAATAAGGTCTGTTACCTTCAGTCTCATCAGTGAATCTTCTTGTACTTGGATCAGGTGTAATCAGAGTTCTTACATGGTCTTCTGATTGGCATCATGTTCCTCTTCTTACTCCTTTTGATTTTTCTCTTAGAAATGTATTTATTTAAGATAAAAAAGCCTTTTAGACTACAGCAAGATTTGTGAATAGCATTTGCCTGCTTTCAAATCAGCATTTTCCCCCTGCCCCCATTCAGAGCATGTAAACTGATTTTTCAGTGTCTATGGTTCTAATCTCCGCATAAGTAACATAGACTTTTAGATTCTTTTCTCAAGGGAAGCACAAAGCTATCAAGGTCCTGATGGAGCGTTAGTACTTCTGGAAAGCAAAAATGCATGTTTGTAAAATCCTGAAAGATAATTTATTTTTCTAACAGATATTACTGGTTTCAAATTGTAGTGATGCAAATATTATAGCAAAGAGAATCAAAATTGAAAGTGGCAATATACAAATGTTTAACAATACAGATTGGACGTCCAGGGTGAAGGAAATGAAAACATAAGCATATAACACAAAGAGTAAAACCAAAATGGATTTCTAGAATTTGTCATTAGTCAGGGGCTTTGCTACTCCACTGGAAGGATGCTTCTTGAGTTGAGTGGGATGTTGAAGATGGCTACTTAACCATGCTAACTTGGGGACATTTTCAACAAAAAAAAATAATCATAATATTAAGGAGTGAGGGCTTCATTTGCAGTTTTTGAGAGTCATGTGGTTTGAGATTTCAGTCTTTACATAAAGAACATTTCATTCAAAAGGCAAGAAAAATATGGAGACTAGCTGTTAGACCGTTAATAGTGCTGGATACCCCTTGTTACTCAGAGATTACTATGGTAAGAGTGCTAGAAAATACCTTTTAAGATAAAAGATAACACTAAAAATGTCACTTCTGGCTTCTTTGCCAAATATTCTCATGCTTGAACTAGAAAACTTCCCTTTTTAGCCTGTACTCAATAACGCGATAGGGTGCAATTACCTTAACATGGTATAATGTCATCAGCTGAGCTGCTTCCTAAGTGAAAGGTGCTGACCTGAGTCATCTTCACTGAAACTTCCCTTTCAGTTGGGATGGGAAATGATGGGCAGTGCTCATCACCAGTTAAAACAACTCAAGGAACAAGTCAGAACTCATTTAGCCCATCATACTGCTGAACCTAGTGTGTACCCGTAAGATATCAAACAGACTTAAACCAGCAGATTGTGGATAGCTGGCTAATTGAAGAGCTCTAAAATTGGTAAATCTGTAATTTGTTCTTTGAGCTGAATGAGATGCTGAATTCAGGTTGTAGATTTCTTGTAAAGATCTTGCATCATTGCAAGCACACTGTTAGACTAGGATAAGAATCTTCTTGGTGACAATGGCTGATGTCTAAAAGTGGAGAACAAGGTCTGATACGATAGTGAGTTGGGAACTAGACATCAGTCATTTTCTGTCACTCCTTTGCTTTGTTGACTTGGACAAATCTACTTGAACATCTCTGCTTCATTTTCCTTATTCAGAACATTAGATTGATATTTCCAGAAAAGCGTGTTGCCATGCTTAATTGCAATATATTTTTTCATCTTGGAAGATGAAAAGCAGTGTTCAAGAAAAACTGTGTGGTCTTGCTTCTCTTGTTCCTCCTTAATATGCTGTCATGTACCTAATGAGAGAATTCCTAGCTCAGCCAAAGGTGTGCCCTCACTTCTTAAGCTTCACGACTTCTGTCCATGCAGAATCATACCAGCGTAACTGTACAATAATAGCTATATTGTTAATTGCTTAGCTGGCAGGGGAGGAAGGAATGAACTCCAGCTTACACCAACAGTTTACTGGTAAAACCTACCTTGTGCTGCTGTATTCATATGTGCAACTGCACTCAGTTTGGTGTCCAGTTGGTAACTTTCAGAGTATATGCTCATCAAGTGCAATTGCTTCTGTAAGTAGCTTAAGTTATGTCTCACTTTGTTCCGTGAATGTGAAGCTCATGTGGATACTGTATTACCTGTGGCAATGCAGACAGTCCTTCATTAATAATACAAGAACACTCTGGGTTTTCTGGTCCTGAGAAGAGAAGGAGCAGTGCAAGGACACTGCCAAATTACTGCAGGAATAAAGATGCTTGTTTAGATGTTCCAAAAGACTTCTAGAAACTCACTATAGCAAAGAGTATCAAAAGTGCTGGACAAAGGAGAGAACTAGCAACTGTCACACCAGCTGAAGAACAGAATGTGTGCACCTGGGGCTGCTCTTCTGACCTGTTATGGTTGTGCAGAGCTGTATGCCAGGATGGGCATGTCACAGCAGGGAACACTGGGCACATCACAGCACCATTCTGAAGGAGCCGTGAAAGCGCAGGCTGACAATGAGCTTGTGGAGACGAGGTCAGAAGATTCTGATACTGCAGAGAGCTGGTGGCTCCTTGAAACTCAACCTAACCGACCTCAGATGAATCCAGAAATGGTATCACCCTGGGAGAAAGAATGGAGCTCAGGTAGGTGTACTGTTTTATCATTACATTTTTTTTCTCTTTATTCATTGGCTCTGAATCTACCTTCTCTTACTATTCCTCCCCCCTTCTCAAAACACTGCCAGACTCACAAAGACAGAAAACAGGAACTGCCTTTTGAAGTAGCTGGTTTGTTTCAACAGCATGCACTGGCAGTCAGAGGCAGAAAGAAGAGAGAAAAGACTGTGAGCAACCCAGAAATGTTCCCAGATGCATGCTTTTGGCAGGGCAGGCAATAGCATTTTAGCAATATAAATCACTGTGCTTTTTAACTGAAAAAAAAATGCACTGAAATCAATACTCATGCATTTAATTGAAATACATAAAGAAATTAAAATAATCCTCCTCATCAGCAATCCAAGCTGTTCATTCTGACTACAGGATTTTTATGAATAAGCACATAAACTTGTAATGTAAACATAAGAAGTAGTGCCTTGGGTTTCCTGTTAGTGAATCCAGGCCCAGAACAAGTGATTTTCATGGTGGATTTTGGATCCAGGGACAGAAAAAGGTAAAAAAGGTTTGTTGCTGGCACAAAGATTTGGCTTTGAAATAGTTTGAGGAACTAATCTGTGGCAAACATATTTTCTGCTTCTGGAGTTTCAGAATGAGCTCACTAAAAATTCTATTTTTCTTGAATCGTTTTGACATTGTTTTCAGGAAAGTATTATTTAAGATGTGACCATATATATTTTTAGGAAGGGCTACCCTGTTTTTCTTGCCACAATAGGCCACCTTCACCAACACTATGCTCTAATTTCTGATAGTACTTCTGCCATGGAGTGGCTGACAAGATACAGGCTTAAGCATTTATCTTCTGTTTGTCTTTAAGCTTTCAGTGGTGAGCTGTCAGACAGAATCCTCTCTCAATTTAACAAGAATGGTGTTATTTACTACCTTTTTGCTGTAAATCCTTCCAAAGTTAAGCACCAAACTTCCCACCTTTTCACACACATCGTGAAGTCAGTCTGTGAAATCCCCATCTGTTGGCTGGAACCTGCTGAACAGAAGGAAGAGGGATAATTGTAGTGAGTTTTCTTAGTTTCCTGTCCACTGATCATTAAAATCTAATACGGTTTGTCTGTCTTGTTATTTGTCAGAGGCTTCAGATGGAGAATTTGGAGAAGCGCCTTCTTCACACCTGTGGAAAACTTTGCATGAGAGAAAGAAAGGATAATGTGTTCTCCAAATTTTTCAAGAGCACCAAACCAAGATTTCTATGAAACAATGCAGTCGGGGGGAATGCCTGCTTGAAGAAAGGCAGAAGAACGGGAGTGGGACACAAGAATGTGGATGAAGAACTTAAGTATCTCTAGAGAGGGCAAACGTAGATTCAACAAAGCTTTATGAGACAAAACCTCCTGAGATGTATGCTCCAACAGGTCAGCTCTGCATCCCGCTGCCCTCATGGTGCTTTCCCATGTATCTGCTGGCCAAGTGACCAGGGTAGCATGCCACAATTTCTCTTCTGCACAGTCCCAGTGGAAACCTCAGAATTGGGTAGAAACAAGAAATTTCCCCTGGTTTTCTAGCCTGATTATCTTGAGTAACAAGACATGGGAAATCATGGCATGCCTCTTTTTGTCTGCTGGTTTGCATACCTCTAGAGAGTTCTCTCTCTTCCCCCTCTTACTTTTGGACAACTTTTGGCCAATTTCAAGATAAAGATCATAGATGAATAGGAATCTCAAAGCCTATAAAGTTTTTACAACATTTGGGAAGAGAGATGATCCAGCAGATGATAGAATCCAGACAGGAAAGAGGCCTTTTAGAGATCCAAACCAGGAAGATGGCATTAACTGAAGTTCATAACTGGTTTTTATGCAGAAGTCAATCAGACACAAGAAATGAAGTTATAAGAAACCATGGTCTGTTCTTTGTGGTGCTCACAGACCAACTGCTTAAGTGACTGTAATTGTTTTGAGAAGTGTTTTTTATCACTTCTTAATAAAGTTGTTACATATATTATGTGTATTATTTGTCTCATAACACCCGAATTTCTACTCTGATATCAGGGAAATAAAACGGGCTAACCATTAATTTAAAATGGATGTACTTGTTTCTGCTTGTTTCACGAAGTTGTACAAAATGAACATAAATGAACCACCTGATTTGTAGCATCTTGTTGAAGAGTCCTCTTCTTTGACCTCCCATAACTCTGTGATGGCCGGTAATTGATCTTATGCCTGTTTTGTTTAAAAACCTTAGATACTTTCTCCTTCTGCCAAACCCATCTTTCATTTATTCCATTTACTGCATTGTATGCACAATTTATTGTATAAAATACAACCTGTAGATACGACAGCAGAAATGTGTCTCCTGCTAACATCCATCCTCTGCATGGGATGTTTCAGGACAAGAGATAGTTGGCACCAGTTGAAACACAGGAGGTTCCCTCTGAATGTCAGGAAACTCTTACTATGAGGGTGACTGAGCACTGTCACAGGTTGCCAAGAGAGGTCATGTATCTTTTAAGATATTCCCAAGCCATCTGGACATGGTCCTGGGCAACTGGCTGTAGGTAGCCCTGCTTGAGCAGGGAGGCTGGTCCAGATGACTCTCCAGAGATCAGCACTAACCATTCTGTGGTTTCCACCATCCCTTGGGCCTACTAGCCAGGTGTACGTTGATGTTATTCTGTTCTTCCTTAGTGGTTAAACCTTCGTTGTTAGTATATGGCTTCATAAGTCAGGGAAAAAAGGGTGGGACGTCTCCTGATATTGAGCATCTCAGTGCAGTCCTACCAGTAACAATGTGCAAATCTGGGAAAACAACCCCTGCCTGAAGTTTTTGTTTGAGGCCTGAATTTGTGAAGATGAAAACCTCACATGCATTCACTGGTCATTTTGTGATGCCTGTGAAATGTCTCTGAAGAGTGACTTAAAAATTCAGCCTCTTACAAATACATCCATTTAAAAGTTGCTGCTTGGGCACACAGAAACCGAGTAGGAGGTAGGAGAGAAAGAAGCTATTTGTCCCCTTCAATCATGCTTCCACAGTTTTAGTATCCTATGTGGGATGGACTTCCTCTGTTTCTTATGTGTTACCCAGATTCAATATTCTGTACTAAAAGGCACACTTAATGGCTTTTCGCATCTGAAAGGCCACCTCTTCCTCTCTACATTTTCCGATAGGAAATGGGGTGGTTGACCAACAAAGAATGATCTGAGACCCCAAGCTTCCAGATTTCCTTTCATACTTGTTTTCCCACTGCTTCAGCACTCCTGTCTTCAATTTCTGCTCTGATGGCTGGAATAGGTTCAGTGCCAAACTCTAGGAACACGGCTGTCTGCATATGAAAACCTTGCAACTACCACTGACAGTGGCCAATTCGGAGTTGATCCTGTTCTGCTGCTTGGTGCTTCTTTTGTAGGCCTAGTCAGGGAATGTCTTCATCACCCGATGATTCCTCTAAACTATCTGTCTTAACCATAGCTCCTCAGTTTTCTTATGTTCCCTACTTCACAGCTGGTAGTCCATGTGAGGGTGGTTGAACTCCTGCAAACCTAGAAGTATGACATTCTCCTAATGAAACAAATTCTGCAATCTCTTTTTTTCTGATAGGGAAATGGTAGACTGAAGCCCCATGCAGAAAGAAATGAGCTTATTACAGGATGTACCTAAGAGGAACTGCTGGAATTTTAAAAAGTAATGTGAAAGTAAAAGATTATGAAATGGGGCAGAGGGAATTCTGGGAAGTTCCCTTAATTCCCTGGGAGGAAAGCAAGTATGTCTTCACAGGAAAAAATGACTAGACGCAAATCATTGTGGATAGCGCTGGAGACGGGCTCAGCAGAGTGCTTGCTTTGCTGGTACACCACTTCCTTGGGCAGCTGCGCTGCCCCAGCGGAGGTTTTTTCCAACTGGGCACACAGTCAAGCATCATTGCAATGTCAGCAGCTGTGTGCCAGCTCAGATGCTACCAGTATATTCGTTAACATTGATGTGGCCTAAGAGTATCCGTACAGGGTAGTACTATAATTACAGCACTGTGATCGTTCGTGGCGTATTCCGTAGTGTAGGCAAGCCCTTGTAAAACCCCGCTCTTGCCAGTGTTATCATGTGAAGCCTTCATTTGTGAAGTCCCATTGACTTCCCCAAGTGCAGAGCTAATTGCACGAGAAGGATCTAAGGGGTTTAATCCTTCTCCTGATACTTCAATGAAAATTAATTTCTTATATATTATGTATGAGTAATATATTTCTGTTTGTACATTAATATTAATGTTGCATATTTTTGAGCACGAGTTCTATTCTGTAGGATTAAATTATCTTGGTAAGTAATAGCCCAGAATTCTGCAGGAATAAAGGTTGAGTTGAAAGTGGACAATTAAGGGCAGGGGGACGGTCCAGACTCACACTTCGCAAAGTGAAATTAATCAGCATTAATTTTCCATAGTGTGGGAGAAAAGTGTCTTTAGTGTTTAAGTCAAACAAAATAAGGTATATTAAAAGCTCCTGATTTTGCCTTTCTGTTAAAATCCAGAGAGCTTTTACAAAATTTGTGATGGAGAAAAGAGACAAAAGAGTATTCTCTTGTGCGTACTTGCAAACTATTAATTTTATTGGGCTACATCTGTTGCTGATTGTTGGTGAAGAAAGTAGTGGCTTTATTGAATGACAGCCTGTCTCAATATGCCCTTTTGAAACAATGGAAAAAAGCAACTTTAAAAAGAAAACAGTCTATCAGCCTACTCCGAATATCAGGTTTTTTGCATCTCAGGCCTGCCAAGTCATGCTCTGCTGTCTGTGCTTTGATGCTGCATCATCTGCAGAATTATCAGTGCAGTCTTGATGGTAGTTTCTCCTTAATGCCCATAGCCACACAGCTGCTCTGATACTGAGATGCTGAATGTGAGGATGCCTCACGATGGGCTAGCAGCTCTCTGCCTTCAGAGGGTCTCAGGTTGACAGCCTTTGATTTTACGTGCAATGTAAGGAGACAAAAAAGGCGGGGATGCTGACAGAAAGTTCAGTCGCTAACGTAGTCAACGCCAGATTCCTGAGCACTGCTCAGCACATACCCTTGCAGAGCTCAGAGGCTCAGCCTCACCCAGGATCAGGCCCTAGGACAGAAGGACAGAAAGAAGCGTACTTGTTTTTCAGCTCCTAAATCAAATTCACAGTACTTAAAGCTGTTTGTACTCATAAACTATGTAAACCTGATATGATGTGATTGAGAGAAAATAAACACACGACCATGTGCTGCCAGGTTTTAGAGTCACTTTTCTGACAAGTACCTCACTTCAGTACTGAGTTTCAAAGACCTAGAGAGACTTAAAGGGTTAGAGAGCTCTAAGGGAAGAGGTGCAATTGTTAAATGTTGCAAGATGTCGTTCTTTCTGTGGGGGTGTGTGAGATGTTGCAGGCTAATGCTCTTCATCAGCCAAGGGAAGGAAAGGTTTGTAACTAAGAGACATTGAAGACAGATGTGATTAAATGCAGAATCCAGAATGTAAAGGTGAAAGACAGAAGAGCAGACCAGACTTCAAGCACAGCAGAGAAGGAAGGACTGCTAGAATGTGTGAAACACATATGTGTTTCTGATTCAATGCGTTTTGTGTATTAAAGCAATAAGTTATTATAATGAAAGAAATTAGAAAAAATGGTTTTCTCCGTTTTTCATTTTGCTTACCTTATGGGATTGATTGTATTCTTTTTCTAGGCATGTATACTCAGACCCTGTATACTTAAGACCCTGCTAAACAAAAGCAGAAGATCAGGAAAATCCGCATAAAATCATTATGAACATGTTTTTAAAAGCAATCAGGAAATACTAATTAAAGGGTGTTGTGTGAGCAATGAGAAGAGTTAGCAATTAGTCAGTTCAAAAAAAATGCAAGATGACAGTGCCCCATAAGCAAGATAAATAGCTAACTATGCAGTGAAACTGGCTAACATATGCTTAGTTTTTTAAGAGCTTAAGGTTGACAAAATAAGCATCCAGGAAGATAGAAAAGAAATCCTCAATTAAGGTACTGTCAAAAATAATCTGAGCTATGATGAAAAATGGCTAAATGGATAAATAAGCTGGGACCATGGTTGCTCTTGTGCCTCATGCAGGGTCGAGCACACTGCTAACTCTTAATAAAATAATGATGTAAAATATCAGCTGGCAGCATTAGGTGTTAGCACTGGCAAGTTGCTGTAGTTGGTGTGCAAGTTTTGACTCGGTTTTGCATATGATTTCCTGGAAGCTGTTTACTTTCTCTTGCCAGGTTACCTGTCTGTTGGTTTATCAGGTTGAATTTGCTCCACCCTGGATTTAACATGAGGGAAACTGTGAGGGAACGATTGGTCTGGGAGAGGGGAATTAGAGGATGTGGGAGGTGTGTCATCACTCTCTTTTGGCAGCAGCAGGTTGTCTCAGTAGTGTCATTGATCCATACCCTTGGTCGGTGCTGAAACAGAGGGGGAAAAGCCTTGAAAGTCCCCTTTACTGGTGTGACAAGGGTAAATCACGTACCTAGGTGTAAACAGGAGGTGATCGGTAGGGTAACAGGTACATGTCAAAGCCATTTTTGGCAGTACGTGCAAGAAAGGTGTGAAAGGAGTATAGAATAAACTAGGGATGCCTGCGAGCCTGAGAGACTGTAGACACGGTGCATTAGAAGCTATAAGACGTATTTTTTGGTTATTTCATATAAGGGAAAAGGGGATACAGGAGAACCAGAAATGGTATATGTAATCAAGGAAACCAATACTGTTGAAAAAATGCTTTGTCTGGAGCTTGTGGCATATCCTCCCCATGGAGAAGAATGAGGTATGGATGAGGGGTAACATAATGGAATATAGTATACAAAAAGTGACTTACAAACACAGAAAAATATCCATCCCAAATTTCTCAGAGAACGGAGCTAAAGATAAAGGGAAACATTAAGCAGATAAATTTTCAGTCTTTTAAGAAGAGGTATCAACAGCCTGGGAAAAGGCTACTAAACAGACATTTAACAAAGGATGTGAGGAAAATGCATGAAATTACTGGTTTGTGAGCTTGATTTAAACAGGGAGGAACACCTAGAAAGTTTGGATTTAATGAAGGATAGAG